CTGAAACCAGAGCTCAAATAACCCCTTCCTCTTACAAATTTGCCTTGGCCATGATGTTTTATCACAGCAATAGAAAACAGACTGACACCTTTAAAGTACAGAGACAAAAAGATGTAACCCTAACATGTCAGTCAGCTTATTTATATAAAAAAGTAGTTATAGCTATAAAGACAAATGAAAGAGACTGGTATTGAATGAACTTCTTCTCCTGGCTTGAATTAATTAATATTCATTCACAAGGCCAGGCAGTGGTAGCACATGCCTTTAATCCCAGCACTCGGGAGGCAGAGGCACGTGGATCTCTGTGAGTTCGAGGCCAGCCTGGTCTAGAGAGTGAGTTCCAATCAACCAAGGTTACACAGAGAAACCCTGTCCCGAAAACCCCAAATAAATACTCATTCACAAATATCAACTCTACTGGGGAAAATGCTAATAGTAGCCATCTTCATTCCCAGAGATCACTGTACATGAAATGTTATCTCATGTTTAATAGCATAAAAATCTGTAACATATTGCTTAAACTATAAGTTCCTCCAACAAGACTTAGTGTCTACCTCATGCCAGACACTGCTCTAAGCACTGGGGACACAAGGGACAATGTCTGCCTTTGGGAAGCTTACATTCTGATGGAAAAGAGAATAAGCTGTACAGTGTAAGATGAACACAGTAACAGCAAGGAAGAGGGGCTGCATTCTAGAGAGGTTTCTGGGTGAGAGCAAGACTCAAGAGAAGGCGAGGTGAGGTAGAGAGCAGTGAGGGTTTAGAGCTAAACACGATTATTGAGAAACATAAAGCAGGGGAAAATCTATGCTACATAAAGACATGCCTGGAACTGAAAAACTGAATGCTGGTTATTTCTTAAATTCCCCAAAACTTACCATTTAAATGCCATACTATTTTGGACACTTAACATGCCTTGACTACATTAATTTTATTGTATTTCTTTACTTATTTTAGTGCGTTGTGGGTTTAGTGTTAATATGCCCATATGCACATAAAGATGTGAATGTGGAAGTCAGGTCAACCTGGAGGGGTCTCCTTTCACAATACGAACTCCAGGGAGTGAACTCAGGTTGTCAACAGGTACCTTTCCCCAACGAGCTTCTTCACTGGCCCTTACTGCCTATCTCTACAGGTGACCACCAGAATGTCCTCAGGAATGCTGGGCAAGCACTCCTATTTCTGAGCTACAACTCAGCTCAGAAGCTATTTATAACAATGGTACTGAATGGCCTGAGAATTCTCAAGAGAATATGGCTGGGAGCTGTGTGTTAGGGAAGGGGAGAAATAAGCATGAAACAGATGACATGCCTGTCTATCAGGTGACAGTGGTCCACTGAGTACCATCACAAGTACCATCACACCAACAGAGTTCTTGGAAGGAGCAGAGCAGAGAGCATGAGTGTTTCTTCAAAGTCAGAAGACACTGCTGGCAGACAGCTCACACCATGTTCCTAAGTACACACAGAAGGGAACTGCCATCTGTTTGTAGGGTTATTTCAAAGAGTCACCAAGGGAGGAAAATCTGTTCTTAGATGTATCCTTTTCTCACAGTGGTTAAGCTCATAGTGAAATTAGAAATCACTAGAAAGAGCAGGGATGGGAGTATGAATGAGACTAAGTCTCATGTCTGAAACTGTGACACACCAGGGTAAATCACATGCAAGGTTCTGCATGATCACCACATATCCTAGACATCAGCAGGGTCAACAACCATTCCTGACAACTTCTGCCTCAATAAAACCCTACAATTCAAGTGGAAGGCACACCTCTCACATGACTCAGACAAACATGAAGGGAAAGATCTATGCATTAACAAAAGCTTTCACACAAATACAAGTAAACTACGGTGGGAAAATCAGAAAGACTAGTGGAGGGGGTGGCAAGGAGGCAAAAGGGAACTTCAGGATGTGGTGACGCTCCTCATCTTTGTCAGGGTTGTGGAGATGATACAACATAAAGATTCTGAAACTCTAAGTTGTGCAACTCAGGTCAGCACATCTGACTGTTTGTAATTTTATTCCTCAGTAAAACTGCTTTAAAAAGGAAAAGTTAGGCAGTTTGTAGTGGCACATATCTTTAATCCCAGCACCCAGGAGGCAGAGGACCGTCAGAGCTATATAGTGAATGAAGCCCTGTCTCAAACAAACAAACAGGAATGGTGACTTGTGCCTACAATCCCAACACTTCGGAGGCTGAGGCAGCGAGTTCTTGATTTGAAGCCTGCCCAAACTATATTGCAAGCCCCTGGCCAGCCTGGGCTACATACGAACTCTGTCTCTAGAGAAACAAATCACTGTTACTTTTAAGTTTATGGCCCTGTCAGTCTAAAGCCTCCAACACCATGTCAGGAGGGCTGAAGCAAATTCCCTGGCCTGACTGTTGGGAGCTGGGCCAGTTTCTAGGCTTCTGTCTTGCTTCATTTTACTTGTGCTCACTTACTAGTACTATTCTGTCTCACTACTCAATTACTTTCCCTCTTATTCTCTGAAACCTGTATCTATTCCTAAGCATGAAGGACCATTACAACACAAAATGATGGAAAGTAAGGACAGATGCTGCAAAGAGTTCAGTCCTCCACCATAATCATCTAGGGCCTATGTCACACGCATGATTCAGTTTTTAGATCTAAGTGTAAGGCTATGGCCTGCAAAGGAGCCAGCTTCAGAACCACACCTTCATACTTAGGCATGGAGCTACAACTTCCCTGTTCAGCATCTACACTTTTTTCAACATTAAGAGGAGCATGACTGTACTTCCCCCTGCCCCCAAAAAGCACAATTCTAGGCACATTTTTAGAATGGGCAGATTTCTGCCATAGCCATATGCAATTAAAAGCAAAGCTTTCCGCTCTTGATTCTGATTTTCACAATCAGAGCCTACATTCAGTGAGCAGAGAACATGCTAAACATATAGTTCAATGTATTCCTAGGCACTAAAAAATCTTTTATCTCCTGCTGGAATAGTGACTACTGACCCTGTAAAACAGTTGTTTCCCTGTCAGAGATACCCGGGATAAAGGTGTGGTCATATTATCTCAGTAATCATATTCATAGGATTTAGTAAAAATAAAAGAACAGGCAAAACACGGAGAGGAGAGGAGAAACACTCAGAGGAAAGCACAGAAACACTACCATAGGACACTAATCAGTGTGGAAAAAACAAGCGTCTGTAGGCAGCCAAGGACTGAAGAAGTAGACTAGAAGAGCTGCTGGCTCACAGAGCCTAGCTCACTACAATACAAGAGCCGGAGTACTTAGTGAACAACATTCTTCACAGTGACTCTGGGATGACAGAAGGCATCTGTGTATTCAGTGCTCCTTAACATAGAATACAGATGTTTCAGAATGGGCAGGGCCTTCACCATCTCACCCACTCAAAGACAGCAGGCATGCAAAGCACCCCACATCTAAATATGGAGTAAGCTACTGGCATCACACTAAAGTTACACTCTGGAAAACCTTCACATAGGTTTCTGGGTTTTTCTGTTTTTGTTTTTTTCCAGACAGTGTCTCTGTGTAGCTTTGGAGCCTGTCCAGGAACTCATTCTGTAGACCAGGCTGGCCTTGAACTCATAAAGATCCATCTGACTCTGCTTCGCAAGTGCTGGGATTAAAGGTGTGCACCACCACCACCCGGCTCCTTCACATAGGTTTTAAGATAGGGTTTTGCTTGGTAGCCCAAGCTGGCCTTGAAGTTGTGAACTTCCTGCCTCAACCTCTTGAGTGCTAGGATCATAAGCATATACCACTGCAGCGAGATGTAAATGGAATTACAAATTATCAAGAGCAGTTTGAAACAGGATTCTTATTATTATAAATACTCGCCTCGCAGAGACAAGGCCATGGTTTATTCATGGACTCATTATCACATACCCACATTCTGTACCTCTCACTTTTTAATTAGTTCATGACTCACTATTCTCAGTTCCTCACTCCTTTCCCCACCTCTCCCAAATAAGACAACATCCTCTATTTCTACAACAAAACTCTCCATCCTCTTTTCTTATTTTTCTGTACATTTCAGTTCAAGTAACAATATGAACTTTACAGTTGCTAAATGATGCCAGAAATCTCTGTGGACTAATTGAACAGCTCTGGACACCTACTCTCAAACCCCCAAAGGTCAGACCACTCCAGCCTTAACAAGTGTCACATTAGTTTGCCAACATGACCTGAAGACAAATCATCCCTTTCCCTTTTCTCTGCATCAGAATCCTTGGAATAGTTTTCACACGTCTGAAGTGCTGACAGCATCATTTGAATAATGTCCTCCTCTGGACACTGTCACTTTGGACAGCAAGTGCAGAGGGGATGCAGCTGATGCAGCTCCCACTCCAGTGTCTCTTTACAAACATTTATGGAGAAACCCTAAGAACTGATTCCCTTACTCTTCCTACCCCACCTACCCAGAAGTAGCATGAACTGGCTGCCAGTGGTTGGCTACTGGAGGCCAACATGGGTTGGTGACTGGCAACTCCTATTCCAGCATCTTCACTAGGAACGTCTGACCAAGGAGATATGCTGCTGCCCTGGAGACTAAGCACTTATCAGTCCTACGGAGGACAGCTGGTAATCTGTTTGCTACAACCTGGGCCCAAGTGGGGTGTATCCATTTAATCCTGACGTTGATCTGTTTGACCCCCACTCTGTAGATGGGGGCCGCAGCTGAGCAGCTAAGTAACTTCACCCAGGTCAGGCTCCTCTGGAGTATTATCAGAGCCCACTCATGGCCTCAAAGCCCACACTCAACAGTAGGCTGCAGTAAGCATTGACTGTCTGGCTTTACAGAGTTATCAGGACACTGGGTGCCTCACGCTCACTTCCTACACTTTATCTAGCTGCAAGACATAGGTCTTGTCATAGGGAATGGGGGATCTTACCAAGTCTTAACTTTTAGATACTAGAGGATGTATCCAGAGAAAGACAGATGTGGGTAGACCTTTACTCTTGCTACTTGAAAATTACACAAACACTGAAGTATGCAGGAGTATTTATTACCTGGGCTTACAGTCAGCTGAAAGCAATGAAGCTTGTTTGGATCAGGAAAATGTACTTTACATGTACCTGCAAAAGAAATAGCCATTAGGAAGGTCTGGCGTGAGCAGCTGTCCACATGCTGAGCTAAAGCTAACCTTAACACACAGAAGCCAGTGGTGCTGATTCACAAGGCAACCAGTGAGTCCCTACACTCTAATGGTGGTGGTGGTGTTTTTGCCATTCTAGTCTTACTAGTTAATTCCAAATCAAGGTATTTACTTCAAATTTTAAAAGGTCACCAAAGAGTTCTTTTTATTAATTAGAGAATTGTGCTATTTACTCTGAAAGAAACTATCCCTCAAAGACATTAATGTATGTGGGTAAAAGTTAACTAAACATGGAAAAACCAGGAAAAGAACCAGGTCAAACTTCTGTCCAACTTACTCTGTACCAAGGAGATTCACAGACATGCATGCCCATCAGAAGTGAAGTTAGAAAGAAGTGAGATGTCTTAGAGCTGGCTGCCATCCAGCATTTACCATAACATTGGAGGAAAAAAAAAATCTCAGAAATCCACCTGCCTCTGCCTCTTGAGTACAGGGGACACTCATCTTTAATCATAGCACCTGGGAGGCAAAGGCAAACAGGATTCTGTGAGTTCAAGGCCAACCTAGCCTACACAGTGAGGCACTGTCTCAGGAAAGCAAAAACCGAAACCTTCACACCCTACCTGGTAACTCGGCTTGCTCTGTCAAACAACGCTTTGCTCAGTCCAGCAGCAATGGTCTGGGCCTACTGCTCACCAAGCAAGAAGGGCCTGAGTCAGGACAAGCTCTCTAGCAAGAAGAGCCACCACAGTCAAGGGTTCAGTCAAGGGGAGTTGTCTACTGCACTGTCTGCCTCCTTCACAAAGGATACAGAAGGATAGCTATCTCTTAGGAAGAGCCTTACAGATCTGTAAAAAATACTTAGGAAATTTTCCTATATTAATGTAACTCAGAAGATACAAGTATAAATTCCTTATTGTACCTACTAATGTTAATGCTTAGAAAAGTCCCACTTGTTCAGTTCTACATTGATAAAAATTTCCACAAAAATAGGATGATTCAAATATAGTGAGAAATAACATTAAAGACCATCTAGTCCAATGTTGTTGACTTGGACAGATGACAAGAAGGTTCAGAAGGGTCCAATGACTAGTCTGAGATCACAGGCTATTCACAAAAGCAAGGTTAGACCCAAAGTAGTAATGAGTTTACAAGTTTACTATTGGTCTTGTTTCATTTTGGTATTTAATAAGTGTGTCATACATAACACATGGAGATAAAACACATAGAATAATTTAAGACTAAGATGGACTTTCTTTTTTACAGTGGGGTTAAAAAACCCTCAGCCTATGGGGTAAGAAGCAGTTTTAGAAATATACTACCATATTCTTTACTTTAGAAATAAGGAGACTCAGGCTGGAGAGATGGCTCAGAGGTTATGAGCACTGACTGCTCTTCCAGAGGACCCACATTCAATTCCCAGCACCCATATGGCAGCTCACAACTGTCTGTAACTCCAGTTCCAGGGGATCTGACACCCTCAAATAGACACACAAACAGGTGAGACACCAATGCACAAAAAATAAAAATAAATCTTAAAAAAAAAATAAAATCACATTTAGAACTATGTATACTGAAAACAGGTTTCATTTCCTTATCTTTCAAAATTGTTTCTTTTAGGTTAGTTAGTTAACAAAGTACTGGGCCCTTATTCATTGTCCTCAAATATCCCCTCCCCCACTAGCCTTCCCTCCATTCCTGTCAGGCTGGTTTCCTTTCTTCCTCCAGTCACTTACAGCTTACTTTCCCTTTTACATGGAATGTATTACCTTATTTTCCATCTGTCAGTCTCTTCCTATCTTATGATCCCCTTCCTAGTTTTACAGATATACACACGTATAATGACATTTTTAGTTTTTGCATATGTTAAAAAACATGAACTTATCTGAGCCTCGCTTATTTCTCTTACCATAAAGATCTCCAACTGCATCCATTGTCCTGCAAATGCCATGGTTTCACTTCTCTTTACAGCTACGTAAAATTCTATTGTGTGTCTGTACATTTTCTTTACTCAACTCCTAATGGTTCTACTTCCTGGCTCTTGTGAATTATGTAGCTACACACGCATTTGTACAACTTTTTGGTATGTTGACTTACAGAGTCCTTTGAGTATACACCTAAGAGTCGTATAACTCGGTTATATCTAAGCTCTATTTTCTTTCTTTCTTTCTTTCTTTCTTTCTTTCTTTCTTTCTTTCTTTCTTTCTTTTCTTTTCTTTCTTTCCTTCTTTTCTTGAAGAACTTTCAAACTGATTTCTAGAGTGATTACACAAGGTTATTCCCGTCAAGAGTGAATAAGGGTCATCTTTTCCCACATCCACTGTAGCATGTCTTGTCATTTTTTTTTTAAGATTCTACTTACTTATTTATTATGTATACAGTGTTCTGTCTGCATATATGGCTGCATTCCAGAAGAGGGCACCAGATCCCATTATAGATGGTTGTGAGCCACCATGTGGTTGCTGGGAATTGAACTCAGAACCTCTGGAAGACCAGCCAGATGTGAGCCATCTCTCCAGCCCGTCATTTGTTTTCTTGATGACAGCCAATGCAACTGGGTTCAGACTGTATCCCTAAACTGTTTTAATTTGTAATTCTCTGATGTCCAAGGATGCTAAACACTTTTTCAAGAATTTACTGGGCATTTGTATTTCTTCTTTTGAGAACTGTGTAAAATTCACTGGCCCATTTATTGATTGATCTAGGTTTTCGTTTAGTTTTTACAGTTCTTTATATAGCCTGGATATTAATCCCTTGTCTGATGCATATTTGGCAAAGACTTTTAAACCATTTAAAATTAATGTGTATGTGTGTGTATACACATAACGTATGTGGGTGCACATGCCATGGCACAAATGTGGAGGTCAGCACACAACTTACTTTACGGAGTTCCGTCTCTCCTCCACCTTTACATGAGTTCCAGAGATCTAACTCAAGTCTCCAGACTTGCACGGCAAGTGCCTCTACCTTCTGAGCCATCTCATGGGCCCATGGCTAAGAATTTTCTCTCTAGTCTATAGACTGTCTCTTCTCAATGGTGATTGTTTCCTTCACTGTGGAGAAACTTCCTAAATTTATATAATCCGTGTTAAGGCTGTACTACTGGACTTCTTTGCAGAGAATCCATCTATGTTATCTTGAAGGATTTTATCTTGAGCTTATTTTGAAAATAGAAACAGCATTCTTTAAAATACAGGTAAGAAAAGAGGAAGGCTTAGTAACACTTCAATCATTATTTCAGATTGGTGGTGTCCATTTGGCACCCTTTTTCTTTTAATGAGGGTTTAAATGTGGAATCTATGAAATGGATTAGCCTTCCAAGAATACATAAACTAGTAAAACAAGTTTTAAAAATTAACGAAACCACCAAAATCAAATAACTAACCTTAAAGCTCAAGAAAAGTTAAATAAAAGTTTATGTATGTATGCATATGTATAAAGCAGAGCTTAGAACTCTACATGTAGTTTTCTTTATACACAACAGGACCTATCTAAGAAGATGTGCATTGCCAGAGAAGCTTCTATGCACTTGTACAGATAGAGCTCCGAAGTCATTCTGCAGTTACTAATCACACTGCTGCATAGAAAGCTATCCTGACTCAGGAGGACAAACATGGTATGTACTCACTCATAAGTGGATAATAGATGTAAAGCAAAGGATAATCAGACTGCAACCCACAGACCCAGGGAGGCTACCTAGCAGGGGGGACACTAGGAGGACACTAGGATGACTGTGGCTTATAATAAGTTTTGATTTTACTCAATCACTGGGCAAGCTTCAGTGAAACATTTCACTATTAGGATGAGAATTTGTACCGTATCAAGCTGATGACAGAAAATGCTGGCTGTACTTTCAGGAGGGGAGGCTAAAATCTTTTTAGAATATGGATTCGCCTATAGAAAAACGTCTGCTGTAAATCAAACAGTGAAGGGGAAGATGAATAGGAATCTCACTTACACAACTTAAGTAAAACATAGCTCTCTGAAGAGATGAAGCTAGGTTTCTTCTGTATCCCAGAATTTAATCAACATTTATATGTATAATTCATCTATTATTTGGCTTAAAGGGGCTTATTGGGAAATGTTATCATTTTTACTATTTTCTACAGAGAAAATATTTTCCAGTTTCAAATAACCCTGGACTTTTGAATTATAACCTGTTTTTATGTTAAAAAGAGAGAAAGAGAGAAAGAAAGAAAGAAAGAAAGAAAGAAAGAAAGAAAGAAAGAAAGAAAGAAAGAAAGCAAACTAGCTAGCTATCCTGATGGCTCTGGAAATACTTGAGAAAGGTTTTTAAACACAGCAAAGAATTAGTCTGTGGTGGCTTGTTTCTTCTTCAGGATGGTGAGTGGCAGATTTGTGGAATTCATGGAGAAAGAGCAGAAAGAACGAGCAAAAAGCAGAACGCAATAAATGTGTGCTATCTGCTATCTGAGCCACAGATGGGAAACAGACCACATCTTTTCCAAACCCTGCGAGACTCACATCAAACACACAAGCTAGTTCTAAGTGGAAACGTTCTGTGTTCTCTAACGAAAAGACACTTTGAACATAGACGTGTGAGTCACAGACAGTGGAAAGACTGACTGGACTGGAATTTAAAAAAAAAAAGAAAAAAATCAATCACTGTGTGGTACTTTTTTCTAGGAAAGTGTCTCAACACACAGGCAGGGAGACAGGCAAACAAGCTTATCACCTGGCTCCAGGCCTTTGCCTGCTAGTCTAGCACACCCATGCACATTTACTTTCCTAAGCATTTTGTTTGTTTTATTTTTGTTTTTCCAGACAGGGTTTCTTTTTCTGTGTAGCACTAGTTGTCCTGAAACTCACTTGTTAGATCAGGCTGGCCTCAAGCTTCTGCCTGCTTCTGCCGCTCAAGTGCTGGGATTAAAGGTGTGTTAAAGCACACCCTTTTGCTTTTCCCTTAGTAGGTAGAATTTCTCTCCCCACTCCCCCACATCTGGGATTGAAACCAGGGCATTATACATGTTAGGCAAATACTCTGCTACTGAATCATCCCCCAGCTTCAAAATTAACCTTTCAATAAAATTCACAGACAATACCTTCAGTTCTGAATGGAAGTAACTTTGAGGTCAATCCACAAAATTTCAAGATGCTTTCACTGAGCCCATAGAATAAATATATTTTCTATCATAACCTACTCTTCCCCACATAAATGTTAGACATCAAAAGTAATTGTTCAGCCTGGCCAGGTGGTGTACACCTTGGATCCCAGGAGGCAGAGACAAGTAGAGCTCTGATTTTTTAGGCCAGCCTGGTCTACATAGTAAGTCAGGCTAGCCAGGGCTACACAAAACAAAACAAAAACCCTTTAACAAACCCTGTAACTTATCTGTGCTCTCACAAACTAAATTCACAACCACCCAAGGGTTGCACGCCACCGTTATCTTTCCAACTTTAGGTGTCGGTGGGAATGAGGCCTCTCCAAGAAATATGAGATGGGACTCCACATCAAAATCCAAGCCCTCTGCAATATTCACACAAACAGAAAAAACTCACACACAACATAGGTTACTCATATTAGCAGGTATCCTTAGAATTACTTTTAAACAAAATAACACAATAAAAAGTTTTAACAAAGAAATAGTAAAATGATCAAAGCCTTTCATAGACATTTGAAATGTAAAAGATCTGAGAGAAGATTAGTGATAGAAAAATAGAATCTGACATGTTATCCAAGAACATTTCTGAACAACTACACAGCCAGGCCCATGTGTCAGCAGGAAAGACCGAGCAAGTAAGGGAGCTGTCTGGGGGTGAATGGCCAGGAAGCTGCTTTTCCTCAAACATAAAAACAATGACCAGTAAACACCTGCTGAACCAAATGGGAGCGCACTCCCTAGGAAGCAGGGCTGTGTGCTCCTGACTTACACCCCTGCCCACTCAGGGAGTAGGAGGAATGGACGGCAACCAACCAAACATGCCTCCGGGGCACTGAGACAGTATTCTACAGGTGCTATTCAGAAGGACCAAAGAACCTCTTTTTGTTGTTTTTTGAGACAAGGACCCTCTACATAGCCATAGCCATCCTGAAATTCACTGTGTTGACCTGTCTGGCCTCGAACTCAGAGATCAGCCTGCTTTCTGTCTCCCAAGTGCTATGATTAAAGAGGCATGTGTCACTATGCCAGCTAGATATTGCAAAAAATTCTTCTTGCACAAAATTAAAATTCACTCGCAACATACACAATAGGCTTTTAGCTATTCAGTTATTAAAGCAAGTTTTCTTCATGTCATTACTATATAGTACTAATTTGACCAGCGTGCTATACTTACAGGGTAAATTAGCTTCGAGTTCTGCAACCTCTGTAGAAATAAAGAGACTGTGGTTAATAGGAATCTTCATATTATCAGTTTTAAATCAGCAATTTCTTCTAGGATTACAGAAGAAAACAAGTAAGCTAGATGAACTGAAACCTGGTCTAAAATTAATATTTTAAGCGATTTAGTTTTCACAGTGCCACCACCGCCTGGCAAGGACTAAATTTAATTAGAGATGAAAGGTCTGTACTCTCAAACTGTAAAATACTGTGGACAGAAACTAAAGACCAAAAGGTCTGTACTCTCAAATTGTAAAATACTGTGAGTAGAAACTAAAGACCAACCAAATGGTACCCATCATCCAATGAAGTTCACAGACACTGTGCAATCCCCATCACAGTTTCAGTCAGTGGTATTCTTCCCAGAACCTCTAGAATCAAATGAAGACCCAAAGAATCGTGAGAATGAACAAAGTTAATACTGCTCTTTTTTACTTCAAATTCTGTTGCACAGAGGCCAACAGAACACCAGGGGAGGCTAGAGCCAACCTAATAAGCATGTACAGTCAACTAACATGCCAGAGCACCAAGACAACAGGGGGAAATGAGGGGCTCTTCTGGGGACAACTAGGTGTCCTCACACAAACTGTCCAAATGAATAAAGGCTTAAACATAAGGGGTGGTGGTGGAGGAAGTTCCCCAACCTGGCTTTAGCAATGACTTTTTTGTTGTAATTTTTTTAAAGCTCAAACAAGAAAAGCAAAAATTAAACAGTGGGACTACATTAAGCTAAAACACTACAGCACAGCAAAGAAAAGGTAGTCTATATAGACAGGCTGAGAGGAAATGTCTGCAAATCACATAGCTGAAAAAGATTTAATGTAAAAAAATATGGAGTACACACAATAGAAAAGAATAAATAAATAAAGAGGACCTGAACAGACACTTCTCCAAAGAGATAAAAATGGCCACCAGTTTTATGAAAATATACAAGCAGTCACTGTACATCAAAACAAGACCATGATTGCTATCTCACATCTTTCTGGTTGGCTACTACTAGAAAGATAAGAGGTAGCAACTGTTGTCGAGGATACAAAGAAAAGGGAACCTTCGCATAATTTGCACGGGAATGTGAATCAGTACAGTTATGAAAAACAGGACATTCTAAAAATAGAGGAAAAAACAAAATAACACATGACCTAGCAACTGTCTGAATACATACTTAAATGAATCAGTACCTTTTAGGAGTGGTTCTCAACCTGTGCATATCAGGTATTTACATTACCATTCATAACTAGCAAAATTAGTTATGAAGTAGCAATGGAAATAATGTTATGGTTGTGGGTCACCAAAACATGAGAAATTGTACTAAAGGGTCACAGCATTAGGAAGGTTGAGACCACTCTTTTAGAAGGACAAACACTACCATGCTCACTGTAGTTATTTTTCATGGTAGCCAAGATACGGAATCAGCCCAAGAATTTACTGAATAACGAAGAAACTATGGGATGTGTAAGGAACACTACTCAGCATTAGCAAAGACGATCCTGCCATTTGTGAAAATGTGGATGGACCAAAGACCATCATGCTAAGTGAAACAAGCCAACAGAGAAGAAACAAACCGTTGGATACAGAGAAACAGAATGATGGTGACAAGCGAGGAGGGCAATAGCAAAGGGTACAAAGTTAGGGTTAGGTAGGAGTAAGTCAGAATGCTAATGGGACCACACAGGAAATGGATATATGAATTCACCTGATTAGTAAATTGTTTTACTACATATACACCATGTAGGTTTGTAAAATCATAACTAACCACAAGGAAAATATTATTGGGAGGGGGCACAGGACATGACACCCTGGCAATAAATCGGCCAGTAAAGCTGTCTATGCCTTGGACAGAAAGTAGCATGGACTAGATCTTTGGCTGAGTAAATTCTGAGACTGGAGACAGGCAGGAAGTCTCCAAGCTGCTTTGAAGAATATGTACAGTTTTAGTCCCACACAGACTGTAAACGGGGTAAAAGCACATTCCAAGCAGGTAGAAGGCAGACAGTGTAAGTGCTGGCAAAGCAACAGTCCACATGACAGCAAAGCCATGGGGAATGAGGCGGAAAAATAGGGACAGGAACACAAAAGAGCCCAAGGAGATTCCTCAACACAAGTTCTGAAGTTCTGCCTCAAGGGAACAACAGCACAAAGGAGGGCAGAGGAGAGGGCAAGTGACCTCCGCATCGGGCAGCAAGCACCAGGTGAAAGCAGGGAAGAAGCCAGTGATCACTGTGGATCAGACCTGCCTGCTGGCAAAGAAATGGCAGAAACTCAGGAGAAAAAATGGAACGCAGAGCAGGAAAGGGAAGACAGGTGACTGGCCAAAAGGCCCAGCATCAAGACGAGCCCTTCAGGAGAAGTGGGGAAGGCATGCGGAATGCTGTGACATGAGTGGGAATTCGAGCTGAGGCTCAGGGTACGGAGACCCTTAGGCTTACAGGTATTAGAAGTGTGTATGAGGTGACAGAGCCTTTGGCTGGAGACTGGTAGCCTATCCGGAGCCTCTGCTTTAGTGTTCAGCAATCCAGATCAGACAGATAGCCAGCAAAGGTGACTGGGCAGGAGGAACTAGGGCAAGGGAAGGGCCCACATCCCTTCATGTTCCAGGGTGCCAGAGTCAATGGGCTCCTACAGTGATATTCTCATGCTGAGAAAAAGGACATATAAAATCCACAGGTCAGGGGGTGAAGAGGAGGACTGGCAGATCAATCCTCTTGCTGGGGCTGGGAAGGCAACAAATTCCATCACTGACCACAAGCCTTGAGTCCACCCTTTTGGTAGTCACAGGTACTTTTAAAAAATACTTAGAGACTGGGGTTGGTGGCTCATGCCTACAAACCAGCACTCAGGATGCTAAGGCAGAAGGACCCTGAACTTGAAATCAGCCTGAGTTATACAGCAAGACCCTTTCTCAAACAAAAATAAATCTGTGAAAGGTACACTGCCACTATGTTTGACTGCAGTGACCTTGGAGTTGTCTTTGTCAAATGATGCTCTTGCCCTTCCTGGGGAAGACTGGCAGAGAGCTAAGACCACAGATGAGTCATTTACAATCATCATTTTTAAGTACTATCCATGAAACTAAACTGTTTTTGAAGCAAATACTAGCATATTTTATTCTGTCATCCAGATTCACCTAGTGACAACTGGAACCCTGCCCACTGGGTATGAATTTCATATCAAACAGATAATGACCAGCAGAAGCAAAAGTCTCAAGAGGCTAGTCCAGTGCCACAGAAAGAAGAAATGAGATCTGGGCACATGCACAGGCAAGGCTATAGGGCAGAGTATGGGTGGGAGGATTGGAAGGAACTGGGCAGATGTCCTGACCAATGTTCCCAATGTTCCACTTCTCTTCTGGAAATGGTGGGGGTGTATTGGAGATTAAAGACCCTCATTACAGGCAGGTGTGGTGGTGTACACCTTTTATCCTAGCACTCAGGAAGCAGAGGCAAGCAATCTCTAAGTTTAATGTCAGCCTGGTCTACAGAGTAAGTTCCAGGACAGTCAGGGCTACACACAGAAAACCTCTCTCAAAACCGAAAAGAAAAAGGGGCAGTGGGGGGGAGAGGGGGCGCTGAAGAGATGGCTCAACAGTTAAGAGTACTGGCTGTTTTTCCAGAGGATCTAGCTTCACTTTTCAGCACCCACGTGGCAGCTCACAACTGTCTGTGTTAACTCTAGCTCCAGGGCCTCCAACACCCCTACATAGACATACATGCAGCCAACAACAATGCACATAAAATAAAAAATAAACAAATCAGTAAAAAAATAAAGACCATCAAGGCCCAGATGATCCAACATCCAGAATGGCTTCAAGGTAACTGGCTCAGACGATACAGCCTCACGGACTACTCCATGATCCTAAATTTTCTTTGTTTCCCCAGAAGATACAGCGCCCCCCTCCAGCAGGAAGTAGTAAGAGAAGCTACGCCCAAATTCCCAAATATACCAAGCTGACTTTGGAGATGTGTAAAGGTTAAAACCTTCCTTTTTAAGAAAAGAAAAGGGGAAGTGCTGTGGGATGGTCTGTATGTCAAATGTGTTGCTGATTGGTCAATAAATAAATCACTGATTGGCCATTGGCCAGGCGGGAAGTGTAGGCGGGACAAGGAGGAGAATAAAGCTGGGAAGTGGAAGGCTGAGTCAGAGACACTGCCAGCCGCCACGATGACAAACAGCATGTGAAGATACCGGTAAGCCACGAACCACGTGGCAAGGTATAGATTAATAGAAATGGATTAATTTAAGCTGTAAGAACAGTTAGCAAAAAGCCTGCCACGGCCATACAGTTTGTAACCAAAATAAATAAATAAATAAAGACCTACATCACATCAGTACTTAGGGAGTGTTTTGCTAATGTGATTCTACTCAATAACTTTATTTAAAAAAGTTATCATGTATAGCCACATTGTGTAAAGGATTTACTGATTTTTTAGTAATTTGAGTTCTGATTATCCCCACAATCCAGTAGCTACAGGGATTCTAAAACCCTGGATGCCCCAGTCCTCAATCACTCCAGTATCATTAAAAATCCTAAGTAGGCCCAGGCACCTAAATTAGTGTTGTTCTCTAACTCTTGGTCTGTGTGGCCTGTTACAACAAAAATATCTTACACGTAGGTGGTTTGCAAACACTTATTTTTTATAATTCTGAAGGATGGCTAGCCAAGACCAAGGCACCAGCAGATTCTGAATCTGGTGAGGGCCCAGGGCCCTCATATATAGCAAATTCTTGTTGTGTGTTCAAATGGTAGGAGAGGCAAGGAAACTGTCTAGTACTGATTTATTAGTACTGATTCCATTCATAGCAATTCCACCCTCATAAATTACCTCCTAATTAATACCACCCAAGTGTTAAGATTTGAATGTACAAATCTGGAGGACATGTCATTCAGATTGCTTCAGACCACTACCTGTGAAAAGATGATCTAATGCCATTATACACATAAACTTAATAAAAAGTTCTAATTCTACATGATATCAATAAATTTAAGGT